AGAAAGAAGAAAAGAAAGAAGAGGAAAAAGAAGAATTAAAAATTGAAGAGAAGAAAGAAGAAAAGAAACCTGTGGAGGAAGAAAAAGAATTAAAAGTTGAAGAGAAAAAAGAAGAAAAGGAACCAGCAAAAGAAGAGAAAGACTTAAAGCTGGAAGAGAAGAAAGAGGAAAAGAAGCCTGCAGAAGAAGAAAAGGAATTAAAAGTGGAAGAAAAGAAAGAAGAGAAGAAACCCGCAGAAGAAGAAAAGGAATTAAAAGTGGAAGAAAAGAAAGAAGAAAAGGAATCGGCAAAGGAAGAGAAAGAATAAAGGTTGAGGAGAAGAAAGAAGAAAAGAAACCCGCAGAAGAAGAAAAGGAATTAAAAGTGGAAGAAAAGAAAGAAGAAAAAGAATCGGTAAAGGAAGAGAAAGAAATAAAGGTTGAGGAAAAGAAAGAAGAAATAAAATTAGTAGAATCGTTACCCGAGTTAAAATCTACTGTCGAGGAAGAAAAACTTGATAAAGACGAAGAAATTAAAACTCCAGAAAAACTTGATAAAGGCGAAGAAATTAAAACTCCAGAGATGGTAAAAGAAGAGAAACCAGAAGATAAGAAGGAGATAATTAAGGAGAAATCTCCAGAGAAAATTGTTGAAACCGAAATTGAATCAATTAAAGATATCACCGATCGTAAACCAAGTATCGACGAATTAGCTAAAGTAGAAAAAATATCTCCGAAATTGGAGAAAATTGAAGATGAAAAACAAATTGTTCCAGAAGATCTATCCTTAGCTAAGGAACAGAAGAAACAAGAACAGGAACTAGAAGAAATAAAGGAGAAGAAACCAAAAGTCGCAGAAGATACTGGATCTGTTCGGCGAATGTTAGTCACAGCGAGTAGCGAAGACGGTGGACAGGAAACGGAAATTTGTGCAGCTGGTACTATCGCATTTCAAAAAGCTATTACACCCGAAGATTCTCTTAAAGATACATCTATCAAGACAACACCTGATAAAGATTCTTTACTTTTAGATAAGGACTCTCTGCATTCAGAAATAAGCAGCCCAGAAAAGGACAGTATTTCCGAAAAATCATTGTCAAAAGACATTGGAAAAATAACGCCCGAAGACAGTTTGGATAAATCTCCAATCGATACACGTGATTCGCGCGATCTCGAGGATAGTTTGGAGAAAGGTAAACCGAAGGAGGCGGATAGTAGCACTTCTCCATCTATTATGGACACAGAAACTCCTAAATCTCCATTACAACAAAAACAAATTGAGGATGTGGCTAAAGTAGCCGCTATTGATATAGATAAAAAGAAAATAATCGAAACAATTGAACCGATCCAATCAATTGATACTAAAAAACCTGACATTATTGAAAAAGAAGAATTGCGCGAAGAAATTATTGAAGATCATTTACAGAAGTCCAAGGAAGAAAGTGATAAGAAGATTCTTGAAATAAGTGCATTAAAATCGTCCGAATCGATTCGATCGGAGGACGTTTCACCGGCAGAAACTATTTTTGCGAAATCACCCACGGAAAAATTAAAAGAACCGAGCAAAATTCCAACCGATACAAAAGAGGTAGAACCGGTGAAATCAATTTTAGAAACGGAAACCGTAACGAAGCGAATTGAAGAAATTAGCCAAGAGATTCGTGAAATTGAAGTGAAAAAAGATGAAAAAGAAGAAGTATGCGTGTCGCGTGAAAAGAGTGAATCACCGAAAGAGGAATCAATTATCGAATCTGCCAGAATAGAAGAAAAAGAATTAATCACAGATCGCAAATTAGAAATGAAAGAAGAGAAACTGAAAGATTTAGAGGCAGAAATTGAATCAAAAATACTTGAGGATAAAATATCCTCTGATATTAAACAGACTGATATTATTGATAAGGATAAGCTTCCAACTGTAGATATTGATAAATCTAAAGTGGAAATACATACATTAACAAAATTAGATACTACAACAATTACAACTGATAAAGAGCTAAGTACCTTTGATGAAAAGAGCAAAGAACCAATCGATACATTAAAATCAACTTTCGTTACAGATATTACATCAACTACAGAAAAACCAAAATCTCCTATTATAACAGAAAAAATTCAAGAACTTGATATCACGGATAAAGAAATAGTCTCTCCCAAAGAAGAAGAAAAGAAAATGAAAGAGGAAGTAGATATAGAAAAACATGTGATTGAAAAAATTGAGAAAGAAGAAATTAAGCCCGAAAGTATACCAATAGAAACAAAGACAGTAATCGATGTATCGAAACGATCTAGTATTTCAAGTGAAATTCATGTTGTAACAGAGGCTGATACTAAAGTAATCGATAAATCTAGATCACCAAGTGAAATAGATGTTTCAATAGGACCAAAGGAAACAGAAGATAAAACAAGATCGCCCAGCATTGCTGGTGATATCGAAGATTTGAAAGAAATAGAGGCAACAAGTATTGATAAATCTAGAACACCTAGTGTAACAAGTGTTACAGCAGAATCAAAGGAGGTATCCGACAAATCAAAATCGCCTAGTATTGCTGGAGATGAACCCGATTTAAAAGATATCGAGACAAAAGAAATTGAAAAATCAAGATCCCCCAGTGTATCGAGTATTCCTACAGAAGAAAAGAAAACGATGGATAAATCAAAAACACCTAGTCCTGAAGAAGAACCAGATTTAAAAGACATTGAAAAATCTAGAACACCCAGTGTAACCAGTGTTCCAGCAGGAGTCAAAGAAATCACCGAAAAATCACCTAGTGTTCCTGGCGAACAACCAGAATTAAAGGATGTTGATACAAAAGAGGTTGAAAAATCTAGATCCCCTAGTGTAACAGCAGAAATAAAAGACGTTGACATGAAAGAAATAGAAAAATCCAGATCTCCCAGCGTAACAAGCACTACGATAGAAGTAAAAGAACCATCAGATAAATCAAAGTCGCCCAGTATTGCTGGTGAAATTGTTGATCTGAAAGATGTTGATAAAAAAGAAATTGAAAAGTCAAGATCTCCCAGCGTGATAAGTGTCACAGCAGAAGAGAAAGAGACATTAGATAAATCAAAGTCTCCCAGTATTGCTGATGAAAAACCAGAATTAAAAGATGTCGAGATAAAAGATAAAGAAAAATCCAGATCACCAAGTGTAACGAGTGCAGAGTTAAAAGAGCTATCAGATAAATCAAAGTCGCCCTCTTAAAGATACATCTATCAAGACAACACCTGATAAAGATTCTTTACTTTTAGATAAGGACTCTCTGCATTCAGAAATAAGCAGCCCAGAAAAGGACAGTATTTCCGAAAAATCATTGTCAAAAGACATTGGAAAAATAACGCCCGAAGACAGTTTGGATAAATCTCCAATCGATACACGTGATTCGCGCGATCTCGAGGATAGTTTGGAGAAAGGTAAACCGAAGGAGGCGGATAGTAGCACTTCTCCATCTATTATGGACACAGAAACTCCTAAATCTCCATTACAACAAAAACAAATTGAGGATGTGGCTAAAGTAGCCGCTATTGATATAGATAAAAAGAAAATAATCGAAACAATTGAACCGATCCAATCAATTGATACTAAAAAACCTGACATTATTGAAAAAGAAGAATTGCGCGAAGAAATTATTGAAGATCATTTACAGAAGTCCAAGGAAGAAAGTGATAAGAAGATTCTTGAAATAAGTGCATTAAAATCGTCCGAATCGATTCGATCGGAGGACGTTTCACCGGCAGAAACTATTTTTGCGAAATCACCCACGGAAAAATTAAAAGAACCGAGCAAAATTCCAACCGATACAAAAGAGGTAGAACCGGTGAAATCAATTTTAGAAACGGAAACCGTAACGAAGCGAATTGAAGAAATTAGCCAAGAGATTCGTGAAATTGAAGTGAAAAAAGATGAAAAAGAAGAAGTATGCGTGTCGCGTGAAAAGAGTGAATCACCGAAAGAGGAATCAATTATCGAATCTGCCAGAATAGAAGAAAAAGAATTAATCACAGATCGCAAATTAGAAATGAAAGAAGAGAAACTGAAAGATTTAGAGGCAGAAATTGAATCAAAAATACTTGAGGATAAAATATCCTCTGATATTAAACAGACTGATATTATTGATAAGGATAAGCTTCCAACTGTAGATATTGATAAATCTAAAGTGGAAATACATACATTAACAAAATTAGATACTACAACAATTACAACTGATAAAGAGCTAAGTACCTTTGATGAAAAGAGCAAAGAACCAATCGATACATTAAAATCAACTTTCGTTACAGATATTACATCAACTACAGAAAAACCAAAATCTCCTATTATAACAGAAAAAATTCAAGAACTTGATATCACGGATAAAGAAATAGTCTCTCCCAAAGAAGAAGAAAAGAAAATGAAAGAGGAAGTAGATATAGAAAAACATGTGATTGAAAAAATTGAGAAAGAAGAAATTAAGCCCGAAAGTATACCAATAGAAACAAAGACAGTAATCGATGTATCGAAACGATCTAGTATTTCAAGTGAAATTCATGTTGTAACAGAGGCTGATACTAAAGTAATCGATAAATCTAGATCACCAAGTGAAATAGATGTTTCAATAGGACCAAAGGAAACAGAAGATAAAACAAGATCGCCCAGCATTGCTGGTGATATCGAAGATTTGAAAGAAATAGAGGCAACAAGTATTGATAAATCTAGAACACCTAGTGTAACAAGTGTTACAGCAGAATCAAAGGAGGTATCCGACAAATCAAAATCGCCTAGTATTGCTGGAGATGAACCCGATTTAAAAGATATCGAGACAAAAGAAATTGAAAAATCAAGATCCCCCAGTGTATCGAGTATTCCTACAGAAGAAAAGAAAACGATGGATAAATCAAAAACACCTAGTCCTGAAGAAGAACCAGATTTAAAAGACATTGAAAAATCTAGAACACCCAGTGTAACCAGTGTTCCAGCAGGAGTCAAAGAAATCACCGAAAAATCACCTAGTGTTCCTGGCGAACAACCAGAATTAAAGGATGTTGATACAAAAGAGGTTGAAAAATCTAGATCCCCTAGTGTAACAGCAGAAATAAAAGACGTTGACATGAAAGAAATAGAAAAATCCAGATCTCCCAGCGTAACAAGCACTACGATAGAAGTAAAAGAACCATCAGATAAATCAAAGTCGCCCAGTATTGCTGGTGAAATTGTTGATCTGAAAGATGTTGATAAAAAGAAATTGAAAAGTCAAGATCTCCCAGCGTGATAAGTGTCACAGCAGAAGAGAAAGAGACATTAGATAAATCAAAGTCTCCCAGTATTGCTGATGAAAAACCAGAATTGAAAGATGTCGAGATAAAAGAGATTGAAAAATCCAGATCACCAAGTGTAACAAGTGTCACAGCAGAAACAAAAGAGCCATCTGATAAATCAAAGTCTCCCAGTGTTGCTGGTGAAGAACCAGAGTTAAAGGATGTTGATTCGAAAGAGATAGAAAAGTCGAGGTCTCCTAGCGTAGCAAGTATCACAACGGAAGTGAAAGAGCCATCAGAATCACATAAATCAAAGTCACCGAGTGTTGTTGGTGAAGAACCAGAATTAAAGGATGTTGATACAAAAGAGATTGAAAAATCGAGGTCTCCCAGTACAACAGAAATGAAGGAACCATCAGACAAATCAAAGTCTCCCAGTGTTACCGATGAAATTGCTGAATTGAAAGATACAAAAGAAATTGAAAAGTCGAGGTCTCCCAGTGTAACTAGTGTCGCAGCAGAGGAAAAAGAGCCATCAGATAAATCAAAGTCTCCCAGTGTTGCTGGTGAAAAGCCAGAATTAAAGGATGTTGAGATAAAAGACGTAGAAAAATCCAGATCTCCAAGTGTAACGAGTGTTACTGCAGAAGTGAAAGAACTATCGGACAAATCAAAGTCACCCAGTGTATCTAGTGATATTGTCGAATTAAAAGATGTCGATACGAAGGAGATTGAAAAGTCCAGATCTCCAAGTTTAACAACAGAAATCAAAGAATCAAAATCGGAAGATGTTGCAAAGGAGATTGAAAAATCGAGATCTCCTAGCGTAGCAAGTGTCACAACAGAAATAAAGGAACCATCAGATAAATCAAAGTCACCGAGTGTCGTTGGGGAAGAGCCAGAATTAAAAGATATTGACGTAAAAGAAAAATCCAGGTCTCCCAGTGTAATCAGTGTCACAGCAGAAGTCAAAGAATCATCGGATAAATCAAAGACACCCAGCGTTGCTGGCGAAGAACTTGATTTTAAGGACACTGATGTAAAACGTATTGAAAAATCTCCAAGCACGATGAGTGTTGCAGGTGAATCGAAAGAATCAATTGATAAATCAAAATCGCCCAGTATTGTTGACGAAGAACCAGATTTAAAGGACGTTGATATAAAAGATATTGAAAAATCTAGATCTTCAAGCGTTACTACAGAACCGAAAGAGGCCTTCGATAAATCAAAGTCGCCCAGTATTGCTGGTGATGTTATCGATTTGAAAGATGTCGATACACAAGATATGGAAAAGTCTAGATCTCCAAGCCTAACAAGCGAAATAACGGATCAGAAAGGGACAGAAATTAAATCAAAATCTCCTAGTGTCGCAGGGGAAACTGTTGATTTGAAAGATGTCGATATAAAAGATATTGAGAAATCTAGATCTCCGAGCATAACGGAATCGAAACTGGCTGTGGATAAATCAAAATCGCCTAGTGTTGTCGGTGATGTTGCCGATATGAAAGATGTTGACGTTAAAGATATCGAGAAGTCTAGATCTCCTAGCGTGGCAAGTATTAGCGCGGCAGAAACGAAGGAACCATTAGATAAATCAAAATCGCCTAGCATAACCGGAGATGTCCCTGATTTGAAAGATGTTGACACGAAAGATATCGAAAAATCGAAATCTCCTAGCGCGACAAGTGTTGCGGAATCGAAAGAACCATCAGAAAAATCTAAATCGCCTAGCATTGCTGGTGAAGTGCCCGAGGATATTATTACGAAAGAAAAATCTAAATCTCCCAGTATATCACCTAGCGCTCTCACAGAGACGAAAGATATATCGAAATCACCAAGTGTTGTCAGCGATACCGATTTGAAAGATATCGAAGCAAAGACTATAGAAAAATCTAGGTCTCCTAGTGTAGCCAGCGTTATTGCGGAACAGAAGGAAGTAGTGGATAAGAGACCTAGTATTGCTGGCGATTTACCCGATTTAAAAGACGTTACTGCAAAAGATACTGAAAAATCAAGATCTCCAAGTGTAACTGGTATCACGACGGAACCGAAAGATAAGTCCAAATCGCCTAGCATCGCTGGTGATGATACATCAGATCTGAAAGATGTTGGTGGAAAAGATATCGATAAATCTAGATCTCCCAGTGTAACAAGCATTGTTACGGAAACAAAGGATAAATCGAAATCTCCCAGTATCGCGAGTGACATCGCGGACACAAAAGATATTGATGTAATAAAGGATACCGAGAAATCCAAGTCCCCGAGTGCGACGAGTTCACCGACGGAGATTAAAGACGCATCGGTTAAATCGAAATCGCCAGATATCGCTGAACACGATGATGTTGATTCAACTTCTGCGGATTTAAAGAGATCGATGGATATATCGCCCACCTCTTCTTTGGATTCACAAGTTGGTGACAGAAGAAAACGTTCGATCGTGTCGGACGTTTCCGATAAAAAGGAAATTTCGAAGTTCACCGGTGACGAGATGAAAGATAAATCTGTTTTATCGGCTATCGATAAAACGGACAAGAGTCAAATACGCGACACAATCGAAAAACCCAAGGAAGAGTTGTCCGTTTCTCGTAAATCAATATCACCGGAATTGGGAAGAGCGGATGATAAAGTCGATGATAAAGATGGAATATTGACCGATGATACGACGAAAATGACGGTCGATAAAGAAGAGAATATCACGAAATATATTTTAGAAGAATATATAAACAAGGGAAGAAAAATTACAACGTTTGTAATAGAAGAGATAATTAAGACTTATTCCGTTTCAGAGTTTATAGTGATGAACATCATCGAAACGATTATTATGACGAGAAAGATACGCAGAGGTTCAATTTTAGAAATTACCGAACAACATAAAGTGGAAAGATCGGAAGATGAGGCGAAACTGGCCCAGAAAGACACGACGAAAGATACGAGCGAAGGGTCCATAAGTTCCAGCTTGAGTTCAGAACTGATCGCCTCTGACAAATCCACCCAAGACAGTCCTGTACGTTCCGACCCCCATATCGACGAGGAGATATCGATCTCGGAAGAAAAGAGGATCGAGATGGAGAAATTTTTGGAGGAAGATTACATCAAACAGGGAAGGAAGATCACCGAGGATATATTAGAGGAGATCACCGTAAGGACATCGTTGCCCCGATACATCATTTTAGAAATAATCGAGGAGATAATTTTGAAGAAAAAACTTGCCCGAGAATCCATAATCGACGTGGAGATCGACTATCAGGAGGACGAGGAGGGGGAAGACAGTTACACTAAAGATGGCTTCCGTTACGAGAAATCTCCCTCGCCTCGATACGACGAAAGAAAATTGTCTTACGATTACAAGACGTCCGAGTATCCGAGATCGCAAGAGGGCCAAATGGACGCGTCGATCTCGGATTATTCGGTCGGCTACGAGAGTCAATTTCACAAAGCATTCGTCGGCGGGGTGACGGAGATACGCACCACTCACATCACGACACTCTCGGGAAAATCAACACCCGACATGACCCGGGACGAGACTCCCGACTCGATCTCGGAACCCACAGCTTCCACGGTGGAAAAATTAGAAGACAAATCCGGCGTTGTTAAACCATCCGACGTTTCCAAGACGTTCACCGCTGCTCCCGTTACTTCTTCGACGATGATCCAAAGAACAAGCACATCCGTTGTGGAAACGGAAACGAAGCCTGGTCAAATGATATTGAAAGAGAGCAAGATCGGCGAGCCGATCAAGAGAGTGATCGAAACGGATGCGACGGATGAGGAAGGATCGACGGAGGCAGAAATTTCACCGGATGGTAAGGTTATCGTGGTGAAGAGAATCGTGAAACGAGAAGTGTGCGAGGACGAGCCCTGCGAGACGATTCGAATACTGAAGGAAAGCAAGATCGGCGAGTCGATTAAGAAAATAATAACCGAGGAATCGGATGTATCGAGGATACTCGAGGAAGGCGCGACGGACGAGGAGAAATTAGCCGAAGAGATTTCACCGGACGGCAAAGTGATCATAGTGAAGAAGATCGTGAAACGAGAGATCGTGGACGAGACCGACGATTCGAAAGCGACTAGGGAAACGACGAGCGAGGAAACGATCCCGGAAACTGTCGAGACGGTGAGAAAGGAGACGAAGCAAATCGTGATCACGGGCGACGTGTTGCCGGACGGTAAAGTAAGTTTGTCGGATGCCGAAAAATTGTTGACCGGCCACAAATTGTCGGACGTTGTAACGAGCACTCGTTCAGACGTGAAGGTGACGACGACAACGATCACGAAGGTGGACGGCGATGGCGTCTCGAGGGAAGACATCGAAAAATTAGCGAGCGAGACGATGAAACGAACCGACGCTTCAAGCACCGACGAAAGAACTACGATCAAGGAGACTGTGATCAGAAGCGTGGAAGACACCGCGAGGAGGCAAGGCGAGGAAGAGAAACGGGCGGCCGAGGAGGGGGGGAAGAGGTCCGAGACGGTGTCGTCCCCTCACGTCGCATCCGAAATCGTCCAATCGCATCACGTCTCCGGAAGATCCACGCCCATCGACAGAAGATCCGAGGGCAGGTCGTTGACGGGAACCCCGGAGGGGTTCAGATCGGGCGAGGTGATCAGAACGATCATCACCACGACGAAGACTGTGTCGGACGACGGCGAGATCGTGACCACGACTCGAGAAGTGACGGAAACGACGAACGAGAAGGGAGAGACGGTGATCTTGGCCGAGAAGGTGGACGTGAAAGTGGACGAGTACGTGCCCAGTGGCAAAGACACCTCGGTCGACAGCCCCCTCCATCGATCCTTGCTGCAGGAGAAGGCGGGCGGAACGACGGGCAGCGGCGAGTCGCCTACCTCGTCTCGAGATCATTCCACCTCGACAGAGCAGCGACAGAGCGACTATGCGTTCAAACGATTCCTAGTCGAGAAAGAGTACGCCGGCGATTACAAGGAGAAACCGGACGCGAAGAGATACATCGACGAGGCGGGACTCGATTTCGAGAAAACCATGGGAATGGAGAGGAAGGAATCCGCTATCTCGTCGAGATACACGAACGGCAGCGTCCGTCAAGAAGCGTCGGACGCAAGCGACAAAGAAGACGATTCGAGAACGGAATCGAAGAAGAAGGACCCGTTGGACGGTTGGGGAACTCCTCTGGGCCTTCCGTCCCCTGTCCCGCCTCGTAAGTTCAATCTGAAAAACGCGACTCAATCGACGAACACGGGCGAACGTGCCGAAAACGGAGGGACGGAGATAAACTTCGACGCGATACACGACTGGGGTGAGCCGTTGAGGCTGCCCTCACCCGCCCCCGTGACCAATGAAATCTCCAACAAGGGTGCGCCGGGGACGCCGAAGAAGGAGAAGAAGCAAGCGAAAAGGGTGTTGTCCGAGAATATAAAGAACAAGAAACGTTCGGAGAGCCCGGGCAAGAACGAGAAAAAGATGAAGGATTCGAAGAACAAGGTGCAGCCGGTTTACGTGGATTTGACTTACGTACCTCATCACGGGAACTCGTATTACACGTCGTTGGAATTTTTCAAAAGAGTACGCGCGAGGTATTACGTGTTCAGCGGTACCGAGCCGAGCCGCGAGGTTTACGACGCGTTATTGGAGGCTAAGAGGTCTTGGGAGGACAAAGATCTTGGTGAGTTTTGTGTTTCGCATAATCCTCTCGTCATTGTTGCGTAATCGAAAAGGTTGCTTATATTGGGCTATGTAATGCGGCATTCAGATTTAACATTTGGATAACAATTGTTGTTGTTTCCCCAGAGGTGACTATGATACCGACTTACGACACCGACACTTTGGGCTATTGGGTGGCTGACAACGAAGAAGCCCTCGCTGCGAATCACATTGACCTTTCGCCTTCGGCATCCCGATGTACGATTAATCTGCAGGACCACGAGACTAGTTGCAGTGCCTATAGACTTGAATTCTAGGGATTGGCAGCCTGCTCAGCCGTAATAGTTGAGTTCTGAGCGGTGTTCAGAGAGTGTATTTTATCGCTTCGTTTCTGGACTTGCCGTTTCGCGAATTCCTTACCGTGCCTATTAGCGGTTCATGAAACTTTAGAAAACTTAAGGAGAGGCTACATCGAACGACATTGACGTGGTCGTTGTTTTACGATCCGAATTTCGTGCCTAATCATCCCATACAAATCGATATGCAGTTGTTCCTTGTTTTTAATGCACAGGTTAAAAATTGGATCTACGAGAGCTACGTTAACACGAGACTATCACATTATTATTATTATTATTATTATTATTATTATTATTATTATTATTATTATTATTATTATATCGATAAATTATGACAACATCTGTGACAACAACAACAACAAAATATCAAAAAGCAACAACAACAACAACAACAACGAAGACGAGGACGAGGACGATAACAAGGACGCGAACAATCGCTCCTTCCCTTATTTTATTTCTTTCTTCTTCTGTCGATCTTCTTCCTTTCGTTCTTCTTATATTTCATAAAGATGTTACGCAATGATGGTTATATTAAAATGATACCGATCGCCTCCCTTGATAACTCGTTCACTCGCCGACCTTTGCCGACACGTACGATATAAACAGATTTGGCCTGTTCTTAGTTTTTCAAACGCTTATCACCCATTATAGAGAATTGCGTAGAGAGAGAGAATGCTTATACCGAAGCTCTTCTTTGCACCGTAAACTATTATCTTTTTATACACCGATATTCGACTCGATTGGAGGCTCGATTATAAAATGTGTGAAAAAAAGAAGAAAAAAAAAAGAAGAGAAAAAAAAAATAGAAAAAAAAAAAGAAACGAAGACAAACAGGAACAACGCAACACAAGCCTAGCAATAATACGGACAAGACGTACAAAGGTTATTAGAGTCATACGACACGTATACCTATATACGCATAACGGACAGATGATGTAAAAGGTGGAAAAAAAAAAGTTAACGAAACTCTTTGTACGCATTTTTTTTTTTTTTCATGATCTTAAATTCTTCCGGGAGATCAATTCGAGCTTGAACGATAACACATACATACAACGTGATTCTTCGTTGTTGGAATTAAAAATCAATCTTCTCCTCGTAAATGTCTACTCGTGTAAGTAACAGAGATAAACGTACATACGGAAAGTACTAGATAGAAATTATCCGTGTTGTGTTTCTATATCGTAAGGGTAGAATAAACGAATGGGTTGAATCAAACAACAACAATAACAACAACAACAACAACAACAACAAGTGTAGAAAAAAAGATTCATACTGTCAATGTTTCATTCCTAAATGCCTCTCTAAAATCCGTTACTAGTAACGGTAATAGGTGAATAAACGAAGAAACAAAGCGATCTAAAATAATGTTTTCTTCCTCGGCAGAGAGAGAGAGAGAGAGAGAGAGAGCGAGAGCGAGCGAGAGAGAGGAGAGAGAAGAGAGAGAGAGAGAGAAAGGGGGTAGAAAAATTGGAAGCTAAATTAAGATGGCGATAAAGTAAAATCGTACAACATCCATCCAATGGACAATGGTCCACGTTCGATAATCATATTGGAATGGATACCTCTGTTTTTTTTTCCATGTTCCATTCCGAGGGACGATTTAAAAATAGAGTTGTCCATTCCCATGATAAATCCGTTTATAGATATTTTTTAGTAGATATAACAATATACGTAACAGAATGTTTTCATTTGCAAACAAACGAATTACCACTTCCCAGATCATGCACCATTTTAAAAAAAAACTAGACCAAACGATAATTACGGTGTCGTACCGATGATGAGATTATGCGAGAGATATTTCGAATTCCATGAATTTCTTTGTTTCTTTTTTTTCTTTCTTCGTTAGAAAACGCGATGATTCCGATATTTCATATTGAGGAGAAACTAATGTTCGATCAGCAGCAGCATCGCTATCTGCTTCACGTATAAT